GATCCTCTTCACAGCCTGCCAATGCTCCTTCCCAGGTTGTATCATAAATCTGCTGACAACACTAACAGCATGTGCAAGATCAGGTCTAGTGCATACCATAGCGTACATCAAGCTACCTACTGCACTAGCATATGGGACTCTCGACCTGTACTCCTTCTCGGCCTCTGACTGCGGTGCATAAGCTGAGGATAGATGAACATTTGAAGCACTAGGAGTATTTAAGGGCTTTGCTGAAGACATGCCAAACCTCGACAGTATCTTCTGGATGTAGCTCTTCTGTGACAAGAAAAGCTTCTTCTTCGACCTGTCCCTGTAAATCTCCATACCCAAGATCTTCTGAGCAGCTCCCAAATCCTTCATCTCAAACTCAGCACTGAGAAGCCCCTTTAACTTCTGGATATCAGACTTTGACCTCGCAGCTATGAGCATATCATCCACATACAGAACTAGATATATCATCGAACCATCCTCCACCTTGTTGTGATACACACAACAATCATATGGACTTCTGCTGTAGCCCAGCTCAAGCATGTAACTATCAAATCTCTTGTACCACTGCCTCGGAGATTGCTTAAGTCCATACAAGGACTTCTTCAACTTACAAACATAGTCTTCTTTTTCCGGAACCTCGAATCCTTCTGGCTGAGTCATGTAAATTTCTTCCTCCAACTCTCCATGTAGGAAAGCTGTCTTCACGTCTAGCTGCTTGAGCTCCAAGTCATAATGTGCCACTATTGCTAGTAGCACTCTGATTGAAGTATGTCTGACCACTGGTGAGAAAATCTCATTGTAGTCAACTCCTTCCCTCTGCGAGAAGCCTCGTGCAACCACCCGAGCTTTAAATTTCATGCCCTCTTTAGAAGTGATTCCTTCTTTCTTCTTGTAGATCCACTTGTTTGTAACAATCTTCCTTCCCTGTGGTCGTTTGACTAGCTCCCAAGTCTGATTCCTGTCATGGGATTCCATCTCATCTCCCATTGCGGCAAGCCACTGATCAGCTTCACCACCCGAAACTGCTTCTCTATATGACTGTGGCTCTCCTGCATCCACTTCTTTAGCAACCTGAATTGAATACGCCACCATGTCCTCGAAGCCATACCTCTGTGGAGGTACTCCTGCAGTCGCTCTCTTCGGTCTACCGAAAGCAATAGACTGTTGAGCTCGTGCACTGGACTCTGAAGTTTCTGGCTCTGCAGAGACATCCTCATCATGTTGATCTTCTCCACCTTGGTGCTCAAACTCACTCTCTTTGAGAGTTTGCAGCTCCACCTGTTTATCAACATTCCGGCTACCTGCAACAACAGTAACCTTCAATATGGGGTTAAACATAGACTTCTCATCAAATATCACATTTCTACTGAGTATAACTCGATGCTCAGAAGGTGACCAGACTCGAAATCCCTTAACTCCATCTCCGTAACCCACAAATACACCCTTCTTTGCCCTTGGGTTCAGTTTACCCTCATCCACATGATAATAAACAGGACACCCAAAAACTTTCAGTGAAGAGTAATCAGCAGGCTTACCATACCACACCTCATAAGGAGTCTTCAACTCAATACCTGTGTGAGGTCCACGGTTGATCAGGAAGCACGCCATGTTCACTGCTTCTGCCCAGAATCTTCTCTCTAGTCCAGCATTAGAGAGCATGCACCGTGCTCTCTCTAACAATGTCTGGTTCATCCTTTCTGCAACACCATTCTGTTGGGGTGTATCTCTCACAGTCCGATAACGGGCAATCCCTTCATCCTTGCAGAATTCGTTGAACTCAGAATTACAGAACTCCAGACCATTGTCCGTTCACAGCTTCTTGATCTTCTTCCCGGTCTGATTCTCCACCAATGTCTTCCACTGCTTGAACTTCGTGAAAGCCTCACTTTTCTGCTTCATCATGAAAATCCAAGTAAATCTCGAATAATCATCAATAATAGACAGAAAATACATGCTGCCTCCAATGGATTCAACTCGTGAAGGACCCTAACAGTCGGAGTGGAGGTAATCCAGTATCCCCTTCGTCCGGTGGATACCCTTCTTGGGAAACTTGCTGCGATGTAGCTTCCCAAACACACAATGCTCGTAGAATTCCAAATTCTGCATCTTGTGCCCGCAAAGAAGATCTCTCTTCGACAGAACTTGCATCCCCCGTTCACTCATATGCCCCAATATCATGTGCCAGAGAGTGGTCATATCTTCCTGATGAACCTGAGACGATGCAACTGCAGCAGAACCAGACAACACAGACCCTTGTAATGCATACAAGGTCCCACGCTTCACGCCCTTCAACACCTTCCTTGAACCTTTGCAGACATACACAACTCCACCTTTTCCTTTGAAACTGAAACTCTTGCTGTCGAGTAGACTCAAGGAGATCAGGTTCTTTGTCATCCGCGGAACATGCCTGACATCATTCACGGTACAGAACGAACCATCATGTGTCCGAACCTTTATGGACCCGATTCCAACAACCTTGCAGACAGCTCCATTAGCCATGACCACGTTACCACCATCTATCTGCTTGTAGGTTGTGAAGCAATCCCTTTTCGGAGACATATGGTATGAGGCTGCAGTATCCAGAAACCACACATCCCCACGATGTGCCTTCTCATCTACAGCCAAGGCGAGATCGTCTTCAGAACTGTTGTCCACTTCTGCCACGGCAACTGAACCTTGTTTCTTCTATTGCCCTCTTCTCTTGGGACAGTTGTACTTCCAATGTCCCACTTCCTTACAGTTGTGGCAAGCATCACCTGGCTGTGGACCGGGACCCTTGGAATTCTTGTTCGAATTCCCTTTACCAGATTTCTTCTTTCCCTTTCCACCTGTAATAGCCAAACCCGATGCCTCACAACCTGTACCAGATCCAGACGCCTTATGTCTGATCTCTCTTGTATCAAGAGCAGACCTGACATCCTCCAACGACACGCTTTCTTTACCAGCAATAAAAGAATCAACGAAATTCTCATATGAACTCGGCAAAGAAACCAGCAGGATAAGGGCAGCATCCTCGTAATCAACTTGAACATCTATATTATGCAGATCCAGCAAAATAGAGTTAAGCTGTTCGAGATGTTCCCTCAAAGGCGTACCTTCTTGCATCCTCAAGCTGAACAACCGTTGCTTGAGATGCAGCTTGTTGGTTAAGGACTTCGTCATATACAGACTCTCCAACTTTAACCACAAGCCCGCGGCAGTCTTCTCAGCAGCGACTTCAATGATGACGTCATCATACAACAATAGCATGATGGTCGAGTGGGCCTTCTCCTCCAGGGTATTCCACTCATCGTCATCAACCGCTGCCTTCTTCTGTTTCGCAGACAGCGGCCCCCACAGCCCTTGCTGTTTTAATAAAGCCTGCATCTTGATCTGCCATATAGCGAAGCTGTTCTTCCCCGTGAACTTTTCGATCTTCATGTTCACCGACGTTATTCTTCTAAATCGAAAACCCTAGCCTGATTTCCAGCCGCGGCTCTGATACCACTTGTTATAAACGCGCTGCTACGGATTGGGAAATCGCTGGAATCGACAAAGCAAGAATACGAAAGCGAGAATCGAAAAACACAGACACATGATTTACGTGGTTCACTAACACGATGTGTGTTAGCTACGTCCACGGGCGAGAGAGAGCCAGTTTCACTATATCAAGGAGATTACAGATTACAGAGGAGTATGAGAAGTTTTTATAGTACTTCTCCATGTGGGTCTAAACCTAATCCAATCTGACAAAGGAAGCGGCTGATAGTCCGATTCAAGTCACATCAATAGGAAGAAAAATAACTAAATGCATATTCAAGTTGACAATCTCGTCTTCATCTTGGTTTGGCAAGGAAATTTAAACTCACAAGAAATAAAACATTTCGCATGAAGGACAAAACACACACACTATTGTTTGCATTCATCATGCAATCATTTACCATAAGTCCATAGTAGTGATAAATTGTAAGTTTGGTCACTTGACTTACTAGTAAAATTCACGTTTGTCAGTAAAATTAATTGGCTCAATACCCTATTTTGGCCTGAAGTTTGGAGTTAGTGACAATTGTGGCGAGAATTTTTCAATAAGATAATTATGACCAACTTTACAAATTAATGGACGCATTTGGCCCAAAATTTTCTTTGACCGTTAATATTGATAGTCAAACCATCTCCCCGTCAGTGACTCAGAATCTAGTGCTGAAGTGGCGTCCACGTCAGCTAAATTTATTTTCTCAAAATTTTATTTATTTCCCAAAATTCCATAAAATAAAAAATAGGGAAAGCTAAAAAATATGAAATTAAATGGGCCCACATAAACTCTCTCTCCAATTTTCATTCACAAAGCCCACCCATCCCTGTGACCCCCTCCCACCCGGCGCTGTTCATCTTCTTCCTTTCTATGACGGCAACACTGCTTCTCCTCCGACTTCTGCCGCCGCCAGGCCAAATTACTTGTGGTTTCTGTCTCAAAACTTGACCGAACCCCAATGGATCTGATACTTCCTCCGAGCTACACCCTTCTTCCCATCGCTCAACCCTCAGTCTGTCACCTTTGTCGTCGCCACATCAATGGCCTTTGCTTCTCATCGATGCCTTTACTTTGATTTTCAAGATGGTGGCTGATTTAGATTAGGGTTTGGATTTGGGGCTTTGATTGAGTAAGAAAAGGCAGAAGAGGGGGTCGTTTTCTGGCTGAAGATGTCGTTGCGGTGGAGTAAGAGCGATGGTGGTCGCTGGAAAATGAAAAATGTTGAAAAATGTTGTTATTGTTATTTGTTAATTATTCGGGTGGTGAGATGGATAGTGTATGAGATTACATCATATATTTTGATATAATGAGGTAATGTTTTAATTGTAACACCCAGACCTTTGGGTTCAGGTTCGGCCATATTACGTGATCGGTTGGATTAACAGTTACGTACGAAGGGTTACAATCGTGGATTAATTCTTATTATTAATAATAATAACATATTTATTCAATAGTATAAATATATATATATTTAAATTCCCCTCGACCTCTCCATCGATCCAAATAGAAAACCCCGCCGCCGTCCACTTCTTTCGTTTGCACGGGTTGATTTAGAAATCCCCGCCGCCGCCTCCTCCACCGTGGCTCTGGCCTCACGAGCTTTTCTGACAAGGGAGATGAGGCGCAAGCTGCCGCTTCGCCACTTGCCTTCTCTCTACGTATGTAGCTGCATCGTTTCGTGATGCTCGCATACTGTTCGATGAAATGCCTGACAGAACCGCTGCCACCTGGAACGTGATGATTACAGGGTATGCAAGGTTCGGGGACGTCGATAAATTGCTGGACATGTTTGAAAAGATGCTGGAGAGGAATGTTGAGTCTTGGTCTGCTATGATAACTGCTTTCGTTCATAGTGGGCGCTGGGCAGAAGGTTTGTTTCTGTCTCGTGAGATGATGATGGCGGGGAATGATGGACCGATGATTATGCCGGATAAGATAACTTTGTCGACTGTTTTATCTTGTTGTGCCCAAATGGGTTGTCCTGGATCAGTACTTGGGAGATCGGTTCATGATTATTTGTTGAAGATGAATGGGGAAATTGACAACGTTCTTGTGGACATGCATGCCAAGTGTGGAGTTTTCAAGTATGCTTGCCTTTTTTTCTGCAATGAAGGAAAAGAACGTCATAGCATGGACTGCATTGATAAGGGGAGCAGCTAGGCATGGATGTAGTGAAGAAGCATTATCATTGTTCGAGATGATGAAAGAAGAAGGCGTCCGACCAAATGAGATGACTTTCACAGGTGTACTTCAACATGATTGAAGAGTATGGTTTGGAGTATAAGATACATCACTATGGGTGCATGGTCGACATTTATGGCCGAGCAATTATACAACAATCATTGGACAAAATCGGGCGCCAAAGGGGTTTGATGGGTCTGGTACTTGGATACGGGATAAAGAGGGTATCATGGTGTCCTCGTTAGCAAGCCCTTGAAATGATACGAAGGAAATAGGATTTTAAGGGAGACCTAAACGAGGTAAACAAATCATTTCCTACCCACGTTAATTATAGAACTTCATGGGTTGGATAATTCTACGCCTTACCATATTTAAGTTTTTGAGATTTGACTGCTATGTGCCGTGCTTGCCTTTGTATGCTTATATGATGTCATATGATTTGTGTGAGTTATGCTTTCAGTTTTATGTTGTTGTGTGCTTTACTTACAAGTAAGTTTAAGTTAAAGAAACAAGGGTTTTTTTTTAAGTAACTCACCTTCAAGAAGGTGAAGTCGTTTTAAGTGTTTTTAGTCACTAGCGCCAGTCCGTTGCCGGTTGAGACATTTTGAGATAGAGCAGCAGTTATGCTCTTGGGACTCTTAAGATGGGCAGCAATAATGCCCTTGAGAATCGTAGTGAAGAGCCACCACGATAAGTTTAAGATGTTAGGGGGATGAATCGTTACGACTTCCCTAACTAAGTTTAAGTTTAAGGAAGGCATGGATGGCTTCTCATACGTATGAGTTGGCAACCGGACTAGCTAGTGAGGGATCCCCGTGTCAATCAAGTATTTAAGTCAAGATTTGAGCTTTAAGAGAGGAGAGTAACTTCAACTCCCTCAAAGTTTAAGAGTTAAGATTTTAAGATTGGAAGTACAAACAACTTCAACTAGTAAAAGTTAAGTGTTTAAGTAAGGTACTCAAGTATTAGAAAAATTGAACACATAAGGGCGTAGACTGACCCCATCTCACTCAGCAGTTTGACGAGCTAGAGAAGGAGCTAGAGGAGTAGTTAGTAAGCAGCAAGTTCGAGGGCAACCAGCTAGAGAAAGGGCAGTGTAAGCGTCACGTAGGATGCCTAGTTAAGATTTTCAGTAGCAACAACGACAGAGACTACCTATTTATTTACATTTTATGATTGAGATTTTAAAGTTTGAGTTTAATTTGCCCACGTGTTAGGGCTTTGCTCTGAGCTACAAGTGTGTGTTTTCAGTATTTTATTTGTGAAAATTTTTCCCGCTACAATTTAAGATTTGAGTATTTTATTTATCAAGGGAATTTTAGTAAAAGTAGTACCCGGCCGGGTTAGGGTGTTTCATTTTGGTATCAAAGCCGGTCTTCCTTTGTCCCTTGGTCTCCAAGGAATACTGGAATATTGGTCTCAGTTTTAAAAACTTTTGTATTGAAGAGAAGGAGAACGAGTCAAGGATCTTCTTTTAAGAGTTTATAGAATCTCCAGTCTACTCTAATCTTATTAGGGTGAATAACTATGACAGCACGGCATGAAGGGATGGTAGCCCAAGGTGCGATTGTTTAAGAATAGGCTGGGACGCGATTTAGTTAACATGTCGTGGTTTGTCAAATGAGATATTTAGGCATATGGGGATCGCCAGTAAGAAAGAAAGGATGAAAGAAACGTGACCAACTCAAGTAGAATCTCAAAGGCTCTCAAGACCAAGTATCTCATCGACATGATGAATAGTAGTTTTTCAATTAGTTAACCAACTACTCGGACGTTAGCAAACAGATCATCATCATCAACCTAGAGAAGAAAGGAGGAACGTTGCAAAGGTCTGTGGAGGTAGAATCAAATGTGCGAGGACTTCAACTCCAAACACCAGCAAAGAGGTGCCAATTGAAAGGGAATACCTCAAGGATTTTGAAGGAGTTGAGAGAGTAGTATGAGGATTTTACTACTAGGAAACAAGTGGATGATCTAATAAGCTAAGACAAACAAAGGGGAGAAATATGAATCTCCAAAGGAAGAGGAACAATCACCAGATGCCCGTAGCTATGATATTAGGATGATTTTAGGGTCTTTGGTCCTAAGTAGTGGAAAGTGGGCAACGGGTCAAGAAACGAGGAGGTACCCCGAGAAGTCCCTCAGCTAGTTTTAGTGGTCAACGCTATTACAACACCGTGACAAGAAGCAGTGGGAAGCTTAGACTTCAAGAAAAGCTAGTGTAATATAAATGAAGTAAAGGAGGAAATAAGTAGGTTACAGGGAGTTTGAAAGGACGTCAAGAAGTCAAAAGGTTCAAGGCGGAGAGGAGGTATGGTCATTTACATATAACGATAAAGGAACCCGTATGGATAAACTACGTCACTAGAGAAGAGGGTACACGACCCTGGGGGTTAGGCTAATGACAAGTCGTTAGAAGGAACAAGACAAGAAACGAGGTAAATGATGTAGAGGATAAGTTATGGTCTCAGTACAACCACCGTTAGACGAGACATGAGTAGAGAACCGCTTCTCAACAGTGCGTGAGTTGAATACTAAGTCAACACGGATCTAGAAAGAGGATATTAGAGACCCTACAAACTACCCAGATCATGAAAGGTCAGGAGGTCGTTGGGATAGTTGAAAGGGGGATGTAGAGTTCGGGATGACCTGTTATGGGATAGTCCTATCCTAAATGGAGGGAGCACCTAGCCGCCTGGGGTACATGAGGGATGACAGAAGGAAGAACCTCTCTACTAAGTTGGAACTAGAGGGCTAAGAGCTAAGGTCTCGGGACTAAGTATAGAGTAAGTCATTAAGCCAACCGAGTATAGACAAGTAAGTGGAACATTCAATAAATGTTCTAGTGAATGGCAGAGAATTCGAGGAAGCACATGGAAGTTTCGATGTAGGATTGAGAATTTGTGTAGGTGACTCGGGTTCAAGTAAATGCATAATGGAGTACGATGAGGAAAAGCATTACAGAGAAGGAGGAAAAAGAGAAGTTACCTTGTCCAAGGTGCCCCACTCTGAGTGGGCGCGGCATAGTAGGAGGGTTCCAGCAGAGACAACTAGTTACGTATGAAACAGGCACGCTTAGTTAAGCCACTAAGAATCCTAACTAAGAGACTAAGTTTATGTACGAGATCGATCAACAAAAGAGACATGGAATGAGTTATGTTAAAGGTTACCAAGGGCAAGCCACCATTGGAAGTTGTGACCTAAAACAACAACGAGAAGATACTCAACAGAGGTTGGTGACCAAATATAGTACAAGAAACAACAGGAGAGTTGTAGTTTGGTGGTAGTAAAAGTAAAGAAGCAAGAAGAACACCGTGGAAGTTATAAAAAAAATGGTTGGCATCAACCTGGCGATGTATGCGTCAAGGAAGATAGTTAAGACGGGCAGAAGTAGGAGTACAATAGACAACAAGAAAACATTAGGCTAACCACCAAGTAGAGAACAACCGATCCATAGGAAGTCCATAAGGATATTTCAGTAAATTTTTAAGGTGGAATCATGATCGTCAGGAATAGTCGAACGGAGAACCTTATCTATCATGGTACATGAGTGAGAAGAGAAAATAGGGACCTAGGGGACTACATCGAGAACAAGGGACATCTAGAACTAGCGAGTAACCTCAAGAAGGGTCGTGAGTAAAGTAGTAGTAGGGATATGAGTTTAGGGAACCTACTGGGGTACCCCTGAGGGAAACCAAGATCACCTATGAGGGTGAAAGATGACAATCTCTCGGGTGAAAATTTCTTGGGCAGGGAAACCGTACATGGAAAAGGAAGTATGGATTTAGAGGACATATTGGATGCACTGAAGTGGTCAGAGAATGGCATATGAAATGGTACGAGGACTCGCAAGGGAAGCTAGGTTAAGTTGTGCATAAAGCGGAGTTACCAAGAGGAGAATAATGAGGTCAATAAATGGGGAAGCATTAAGTGAGTCACCTAGGAGTACACAAGCAAGTCAAAAAGGGAACATCATAAGTTTCAAAAGGATCATAAATTTGTACGCAAGTTAGGGGTAGATGCACGGGATACTTCTAATGAGTATAGAAAGTAAAAGCAGTGGTACGAGAATTTCAGCGCTTAGCGGTAGGTTACAAAGAGATAATCATGCAGGGAAAGATTAAAGGCTAAGAAAGAGTATCGAGGAACGGAATTAAGAGGTACAAGTTAGGAGATACAAAGACATAGGAGACTTACCAGGGATTAGAGTTAAGCGTACGTTAAAGGGGTCCCGACCGTATTAGGAAGAGTATAAGCCATAAGTAACCTTAGGGTTCGAAAGGGGGGAAGAAGTGATACTTAGGTAATTAAGCAACACAAGCCCTCAGTACGTAAAACATTCACCACGGAATTCTATGTCAGGAGATTCGAGGAGAGGCGTCAGCAGTCGGCATATGGAGAACAAACCAAGGCCCGAATGCGTTAAGAACTGAATTCACAGCAGGTCATGTTCTGAATAGGGCTGGTTAAGAATTTATCTCATTGATGTTTATTAGGAAAATCCTAAGTAGAGACCCAGGACAAATTGTTGAGAACAATAACCATTGTAGTATCAATGGCGGTTATGAAGGGGGAGTGCCATAGTTGCATTGAGCAAGTAGCTAGCTGATTTAGTGGTTTATGAGAATTGAGAAATGGGTGAGTTATAAGTCAACCAAGTACCACACGAATTAGAGGCAAGGGTTTATAGCTCCCAGTTGTACAAGGTATAAGTCCTTGTAGCGGAAGGATTACCTCAAGCAAGACCTTAGGTTCTCATTAATGAACAAATTTCAAGGTCGAAATTTTTCATAAGGGGGGAGTAAATGTGATACCTCAACTCTGATTTAGATTTAACAACAAGTATTGAATGAGTTGAATAGACGTATCAAACAGAATCGAAATCGCACTACCAGCCCAAGTTGGAAAATTTTGAAAAGAGCAATGAGTTACTCAAACCTATTCGAAGATACCGAGCTAGATGGGAAAAAAGGTATGGTCAAGAGTACAAAGAAGAACCATAGTAAGCTATTCAAGGAAAGGTAAGGGCACACCATTGAAGTTCATGTAGCAAGAGTGAAATCTTGAGCCAAAGAAGCACGAGAATGAGGAGTATGGAAGGATGAGCCCGATCAAATTTCGGGGACGAAATTTTTATAAGGGTGGAGGAAATGTAACACCCCGACCTTTGGGTTCAGGTTCGACCATATTACGTGATCGGTTGGATTAACAGTTACCTACGAAGGGTTACAATC